TATTTACTGGCGAGATCTCTGAAACACATCTCTAAATGTCGTGGCATTGTCAGGGATGAACTCGCCGAATATATCATTGACAAACACCTACAAGCATGTGAAGATTTCGCCGCCGAAATACTCTCAGACACTCACCACCCATTACACAATGAATTTTCAAAAGCTGCATCTACATCATCCACACGCTCATGATTTAAACTTTTATTTGCACGTACCTGTGCTTATCGCAATTCTGTTCTGCCATGTCTAGCACGTCTACGTATAGACAAGGACAAAATTTCCACAGAATTGCGCAACCGCTTGCTTCATTGACAAATACCCCGTTGCTTTCAGTTTTATCATGTAATCATTTTTTAAATTTGAATCCCCAAATACTGTGTGATTGCTGAAAATACACCCGTCCGGGTGTATTACTATTACTGACTTGACTTGACTTTTTCTTTAGCTCACTCGCACATCGCACATGTCGTTGGTAGTTTCTTTCTTTGTAGGACGCCGAAAAAAGGGGGGTAGCTACCTCGATCCGATAGGTATAGCAACAAAATTTGGCTTGCATTAAACAATCCGTAAAGCTGTTTCCATTTTTCTCAACAGTCACTGCACTCGGAAAGATTTCAGTATTCGTGTTATTACAAATTGGTGGTCCCTCGGGATTCAGTTTGTGCACAAACGATAATTAATTAAAATAATTTTAATGAATACGATTCCAGGTTACTTTATTTACCTGCATTTCGGTGGAATAGAATATGCATGCAAAAGACAGCTGAGACTAGTTGCCACAAGCATGATTGTAAAGTTTTCAAGTGGTTTAACAAAAGTAGAAAAAATGTGATTCCAAATGAGAAAAACAACTGACTTTCACGCAGCAGCAGCAACAACAAATGCGCGATGTGAAAAGTGTTATGTTATGGCTTCGTGTTGTCGCCGAAATTTTAATTTCTGTGCCCAATCAATTGTATGTGTGCATCTCAAGACCCCGTAAACTGGTAGCCTTGTTCACATATTTTCTTTCTCATTTACCTGGAGCTGCGACCAAATCAATTAAATTTGAAATGGACTAGCGCGCGCTTTTTCACTACCTGACATTGCGGCTAGAATCGAAAACAGTTCATCGAATATTGGGGCAGATCTGGCTAAAATACGATGTATGTCAGTAGTCGATCTTCTGAATGAATAACCTATACAATTAGTTTCATCGACTCAGGAGAAATTCATCTGAACTGTTGCTGAACAGAATCGGTCACCCCTCTTTGTAAACGATGGTACTTGTAATGTGCACTGCGTTTTTTGTTAGTTATCAATTGAGGACAAGTTGAATCACGAAAAACTAGTGGAACTAACGGTCACATTTCTACCTGGCGTTTGTAATGCTATTCGGCTCTCATAAGGTTTACGATAAGTTTTTACATTTCATCCGATATGCATTTTTAGAATGTTCGCACAGCTATTATCCATGTCTGTGCTCTTCCCGATCCATAGCTCCGTGTCGTCCGAACTGGTTCCCGTGTATGCGCGTCACCGATCTGCTCAATATTGATCGACAGCTGAATGCCACCGGTGACTCAGTGCTGAACGTGTTAATGCGACCGGAATTTGACCATCCTGATTACCCGGGCTTGTCTTCGCGCACGGGCCTCAATGCCTCAATGACCGAGGCAATCACCACGAGAAAGCAGTTGGCAAGACGGCGTGAATTGGTCGGGGATTCGGTCTACTGTGTGGCCATTTCACGATTATGCAATCAGCTCAATGACTGTCCGAACGGCGAGGATGAGGATGACTGTCCGCGACCACGAGACTCACTGAAGGACATATTGCAGTACTATGCCGATTTAGGTAATGTTGTTGTGGTACATCAACTCATGTGAAAACTATAAAATTGTTGGGAACTTTCGGGATATTATATACTACCAGTACTACTACCAGTAACAACCAAAGACTCAACAAATTTTCACTGATAATAATTCCCACCCTACACAGCATACAGAACCGGTTAGTGTATACTCTGATGGCTTGATCATAGATTTGGTAGGCGGTGATCAAAGAAACGCTGAAATCGAATAGACTGCATTTTTGCCTGAATGGGCTTGGCTGCCGTGACACGAGTACGGTGCCTTAGTCCACACTTTCGATCGGAACAGTTAAGCCGACTTGATACCTGGGTTTGAATCAATCCACCTTATTTAGCGCCACTAAACAGAATGCCACTCTCAATTCAGCACAGTTCTTCCAGCCGTGCCAAATTTAGGGTAAAAGTTATTTTCGTCGCAATATAACTTACTCTTTCATTCGCCAAAAGAAACAAAGATTCAATTCCAAACAGGAAGAGTCCATAATGCGCTTGTTTACATCGACAATTGATGTCATTATTTCCCCAATTATGCAAAACCTAAAAACCAAGCAGCCTTTGAAACATTGCTCACCGATAAAACTCAAGAATGTCACACCTCTCCATAGGTCGCATGTAGAGGACAGAACAACTTATCCCAACTACCAGAACGTTAACTGACAGACAGTTGGTGAATGATTGCAATTTCGCACTTGCTTCTTTTTAAGAAAAAAGACAGTTACCAAGACAGTTTACAAATGAGGCAATATCTACCTACTCTCAGTGGTCCACTGCTCAGATTTGTTTCCTTGGCATTTATCTACAGTCATCACCGTTTACTAGAACTTTATAGTTTAGTAAGAAAAATTGCGCATTCTGAGTGTTGTGATAGCACGACTGAGCGTACCGCATCTAGTTGAGATTGACACGAACACAATACGGTCATCATTCTACCTACAGTTCCGTGATTNTCCGTGATTGTATTGTGTGACTGAGAGATCCGGCTGATTCCAAGGCTTGGTAGTTTCGTTTCTCCTGCTGACGAATAAATTAATTTAGCGAAAACTGCAACACTTATTTGAACAACAACGGTTTGCCTGAAACAAGATAAAAACATGGTCCCTTTTGGACGCTATAAATACACGCTTATTTTGGATGATCTACGTGTGAAGGTGGACTATATTCTTGTCATTTAACGTTACCAGATTACTTATCTATCGCAGTTAATAGTTTAAATAAACAGATTCAAAATGTAATTCATATCGCATCACCGAATGGGAAGACCAGCGGATGCAGCAGCACATTATTTCCCATTCTGGATAAGAAAAATTGAAAAGGATAGCACTCATGCTTTGAAGATGTCAGATCTGTATTTGTTTTAGAAAATTAACTTGACCTGATCTGCTGGTACACAAACTATATATTTCACAAACTTCTTCGTAAATCTCAGATATCAGGATGACGAGTTTCAGCAATTTTCATATTCCTGTACTCATAAATCGAATGCCGGACACAGAAGCTTTGGTCGTGATTTTGTCGCATACAAATTTCCGAAAATTTGTTCACTGTGCATCCAAGGTGAACATTTTTATCCATCCATCTTGTTCTGGTGGGAATTCTGAATTATTTATCTACTTCCTTGGGTGGTACGAAAATAGCAATCGAAAAACATGAACCTGAGACAACATCCAGGAATGTCCACTTTAGTCAAGGTGTTGATTTTTTTTTCTGTGGTTCCTAGGGGTAATCTTAGGGCCGAGTCGGGTAGGGTGTGTGTAATCCTAGTGTACTCCAAGTAAGTTTCACTTCCCACGCTTGTAAACTCAAGTTAACAGCATTTCAAGTGAGTGTACGAAACGCTTACACTGGAACGTTTGATTTTTAGCCCAAACCCCGTTCTCCGTAGTTTTCAAGACCTGCATTAATCAAATTTCGATTTTAGAGCGCAGTTGGTTATGTATGGAACAAGGGTAACGTGGACATTATCATCATCATCATCATCATCATTAGTAGCGGCAAATCATTGACCCTGGTGAATATGAAACTAGAGAACAACACAATAAAAATTGATCCATTTGACTACCGGAGCGCGGCTTATCAAATCTTGATGCATACATAATACAACCTGACCGTAATCAGCCGTTTATTTTGAGTTGCAATTTTGTTCAGTCCAGTTTTGGGGTCTAAGGGTCAGCCGACTCTCTTGCTACGGAAATACATCGAGTCAAGCACTAGCAAATTTGGTTTGCTCTGCACAGTGCGCACAAAAACTCAGTAGCCACCAACCACTTCTAGGTTATAACAGCAGTGACTCAGAGCCCTCCCGTAAGTTAACCGGACTAGCAGCCTCGAGATTTGGTGAAAAGTATTACGTAGCTGCGGTTTCGGCGATTGGGTTGGGCTACACACATCTTATTGGATAGGATCAAACGGTGTGCAATGATTGCCAAAGCACAAACGAGAACAATGGGATTCCGTCGATGTAATCCCTGAGAGTGGCAGCTGTATGTGCGTGTGTGAATAGACGAAAAGCGGTTCACTGTGAGAATTTCGAGCAAGTGAATCTACGCACGAACATACACATACAACAGATGAGTTATGGCAGGGAAATTTCCCTCCCCCTAAACACTAAGGTCGCTTAGCAAGTAAACTTCGGCGGGTGGAAATGCTCAAAGCATCCAACCCGCAAACTTCCTCGATCATCACACCGCCTTTTATTGTCACACCATCAGTCCAATTTGGAACTGTCACGTGATATCGACCCGCAGCCAGAATAAAATGTCTCTCTGGGGTCAGAAGCAATTGTTCGGTTTGTGATTGTAACGAATGGATTTAAGACGGGAAACATTGATCGACTGATATTTGTATTTGGTCTAAGGACAGCTTATCAAATTATTTGGGGGATCAATTCAACTTTTGAACACTTTCAGATCTTTCAAATTACCAGGGGAAAATTGTCATGTGTAGATACTTAAATATCCCTAATATGGAAAAAGTGCATGATTGATTCGCGCGTCCAAACCATCATCTGATCGAACACTTATTCTGTCAGTTGTGTACACCACTGCAGGTCCAGTTTCTCGTCGGAAATCGCGTTATTATGTAACCACTAATTTTATCTACATTTTCCTTCATTCGCTTCTGGGAAAAGTTTAGAAACAACATGTCGTCTCTCTAACATTCTCGTACTTTCATGCGAGCGTTCGCTGTGTGACGTTAAGTCGGTTGTTTGGAAGTGTGTGTGTGTGTGTGTGTGTGTGTGATTGTGTTAGTCTATTCATCACTACCTGCCCCAAAGTCGGTGCACCGGACAGGACAACTGTTTTGTATTTGTATTTGTGTCACTAGTGCGCTTCGCGAACTCACCAGAGACCTGACCGATCCCCATTTGCCCTTAACTGCTTTGATCAACCACCTGAACCGCATCCTGAGAGGAAATTTTCAGTCGGTACATCGTGTCGGCAATCACCATTACTTTTTAAGGGTTGTCTTAAGATGACGAAGGCTTAGATGTGAAAGAAACTAGGATAATCTCCCGATAGATTTGCACAAATTTGACTGATAGTGAGGTTTGAAATATGATTATACCGTCTTTTAATTTGTCCGCATATCAGACGCACTAGCTTTGCTTGTCGTCTGTGATCAATGATCATATTTTGCTGGCAAAGTGAGGATGGGATGAAGGGCTGCTCGGTGCACGTGTAGTCTCACTTGGAGGCTTGTTTCTCTGCAGACTACAAGGGTTTTTCTGAAGTTACAGGAATGCTCACCGGAGTACAATCAACATGACGAATAATCTTGTCCCTGGCTTGACCATTTGACTGAATGGTATAATCTACACACTTCAAGTGAGCAAGTAGTACGTTTGCTTCCATGTTTCACGTTGATTGGGGGAGGAGGCGTGTGGTGTGGTTGAGGAATCCGCTAGGAACCTCTTTTTTAGAAGTACCCCCAGACAAATGGCCTTGACTTGACATTCGACGAGGTCGTGTACCGTTTACAATTTGTCCGATTTCTGTCACAGGGTGGCAATATTGTCGGTGAATTGAAGATTAGAGAGGTTCACGTCTCGTAACTGACTTGGGTTCCTCGATTGTCGTTGGATGCTAGATGCGTTATCTAATTTAGGCAGTAGTTAAACAAGATTAGTTGTAGACGGAATTGAGTGAAAACTCTATGAATTCTTTCTCGTAGTTGTCGACGCGCGCATGCAATATGAAATTATCTGCCATTTTATACATTCGTTTTCTGATTTATTGTGGTACGAAATGCGATAGAAGAAACGGACCTCAAACTTACTTTGAGGTTAGGATAACCAGTGGTTGAAATCCCGGTATTTGTTCTCACAGATCCCACGGAACGCGATTGAGGTCTGTAACATATAAATTCAGATGATGGTAAACACCTCATATCGTCAAAGTGAGTCATCGGAAGTGGCGTTTGAGCTCACTTACGGACAGATCGATGTGCAATTGATTGCTTAGACTATCTGATTGCAACTGTTCACCTTAGAAACATGTGAAAAACATCTGTGGCTATCTGTAGAACAAAGACCTTAGCTCTTCACTGCGAACACTAGAGGCTCTGTTTGCCACAGCTCTGGTAATAAGCCACCAACCTTTTCACTGATCATTCATGTTTGCATCCCCGTTCAACCAGTTCTGATCATTAGTGGTTTTATTTATAAACAAAATATCCATTGCGATTTTTCTGATCTCTGAACATTCCATTAGGTCATCATTCAGCTTATTAAACCTATCGATCATCTATAAACCTTCATTAAACTCAATTCATCTAGGTGTGAGCTAGTGTAAAAATTTTACGACTGAAATTTCTGACTATTTTGCGATTTTTAGCATTTGCTTTACTGCTGTACAGTCCGTTTATTTTTATCCGATTATCACTTTTATATTCGCTACTCATGCATATTTCTTTCCGACATCAAGGGAACTATCGAGACACTTGATATTCATTGGTTGAAACTTGGTCGTAACCATTCCATTGATAGATTTGTCTTATAAACAATAATGACTGTAAAAATTGCATCCATTAAGTTTCAACAGTGTTGTATACATTGATACCTCTGAGTACACACTTTCTTGATGGCGGTGGTGGGGGTTGAGTGTTATTGTATGTGATTAATCACAATTCAAACTTCATTCTACTGTACAATCCTCAGTTTATCAGATCAAATATACACTCGAGAAGCAGCAGATTGGTATTTTGATCTCGTTAAGAGCTCATCAGTGAGGCATATTCATCGACTAGTCCGGGAGTAGTGACTCTGGTCAGCCCCGGGGAAAGTTGACACACACAGTGGTAAAACACATGCCTTTGTGAGAGATGAAAAGACAAAGCTGAAATAGTCAATGGAGTGTAGGATAGGTGTAAAAATAAAATAGCGGGATTCCAGGTTTTGCCGCGTGTTGACCGGATAGACTGAGGATTGTGTGCGAGGACGAAGCCTGAACGGTTTTCAATTATTATGTCTCTCACTTGTTTCGGTTCAGTCTATTAGTCAGATAAACCACGACACCAGTATGTTTATTACAAATCAGTCAGTCAGTCGATGATTAACAGTACTACTTTGCTTTCATCCAATTAGTGGGCTGAGATAACATAAACCTGTTGCGAGACGCATATCTCTCGACAAAATCGGTCACGACAGGACCAAATCATTCAGAGTGATCTCACGTGATTATATTCCAAACACAGACTCTTGAACAAGCAATCCTAATCCCACTTCACACCTCTGTCTTGTATGTACAAAACATCGGAGCCAAAATATTAACCAGTTTTGTTGGTAAACGGATCACCTCCTCCCCACTCCTATGGAGAAGAGTAGTCAATTTCACTCTAAGCCATTTTGGTAAGTAATACTTTAATTAGCACAATTTCACGTTTATTTTCGATCAGATTGCTATAAGATTCTTGGTTTCAGCAATGTCTGCCTTCTCTCAATGCTCACGACTCCATGATTCGTTTGCGGGCCGAAAAGGCCATGTTACTGAAGTCAAAAAACATGATTTTCTCGGAGATGCATAATTGGAGGATTCTGGTTAGTTGAAGGCCGTGATAAGTTCAATAGAGTCAGTGGACTAATTAATTTATCATTTTCGTAAATAATTTTATTCATCTTTGTATGTGGAGTTTAGTAGTTTGTTGTTTTGACGCATTTAGATAAGGCCATCAACATGCCAAAATCCTTTAAAATGTGATTCACGCAAAAGCTATTTTGTTCACATTTCAACTACTCGTGAGTAGTCAGTATTCAAATTCAATTAATCCTCCAAATGCGATGGCAATCTTGATAACCGACGATCACTGGACAGCGGTTTCGTCCTACTCCATACACTTTGAAGTCCCTTGCGTAACTCTCCTCTGGTTTAATTTTCATTTTCTCCAAAACCTCAGACACAACGCACACTGGAGATGTGTCCAGTACAACCACACCGTCTTCCTTGCAAAGTAAAAAGGAGCGCGAGGAGGCAGAAGATGAGTTTCATCATCATCCTTCAATTATCATTGGTCTGCTTGGTTTCTGTGCTATCTGTGGCCTACTCTCGGCCGGAATGACCTTGGTCAACAGAGGTAAACAGACGAAACAGCGCAACTTCTCAAGTATATGCAATCGGGTCCTATTTGATTCCGGCACTTCATTACTGACCACACTGGAGGAAGGCTCGGTATTGCAACTGAAGACTCGCGCTGGTGAATCTGTGAAGCCTAACCTCGTCTCGGTTTCAGCCGATAGCAGTCGCATCGCAGATAGAGATAACGGTGAAACTACTGGTGATGTAACGGGCCAAAGCCCATCCAAGCAGGCCGAAGCTAAATCCAGACAGGAATCTAATCGTTGCTTTGGTCAAATTTGTCTGGTGAGTCACAGAAGTAAGAAAAGAAAAAGAGAACGTACGAAATCAGATCCCGGTTCTCCATCACTATTGACCGTTAAAGCCAAGTCGAACGGAACGGATACAGCCGATCGGAGAGCCAAAGAAAGCTGTTCAAGTGCGGACCTCGTGGAACAGGCCACGGCCATTTCAGGTGAGCTGGAATCACGCAATCTGATCGAAGTGTTCGACCGAGCCACCATTCCACTGAACTATGCTAGCCGTGATTCTGCGGTTTGGGATGAATCACCCTTACCACCCCAGTCGGATGAATTCACACGTGACCGAAATGTACTGCGAAGAAAGGTGCAATCCGGCGAACTGATATCCCGTTTACCTCGTCATATATCCAGATCGAGCGCTGCTTCTTTTGGTCACCTGCCTAATACGATTGTTTGTCCTGTAGAGAAGTTATCAGATGTAATTTACCATTGTGGTATGCTTCCACCGGGATCAAGTTTGAACCGGAACACGTGGAATCGATCTGGACCGTTACCACTAGTGACCGAACCGGAATCCACGTTTACGGAAGACTATTTGCATGAAACATTAAAGGCCACTAGATCTGGTAAGTCCGAGATGGCTAATCGCCTTAATTCTGTTCGTACTGAGATAACGGGTTTGTTAGGGACAACGATTCCCTCTGATATACAGATCTGCTAGCATTAGTTTCATANCTGTTATCGAGTTCTGTACGAATTTACAGTTTTTAAGTGAGCCATTTAGATATTAGGATATTTGAAAATGAATGGTTTTCTGTGCTCATATTCGATAAACGGAAAGAATTTTGATGTCTTTTGCTTAAATGTACAATCAATTTTCATGAATTATGAATTTTTCGTGAAAAAAACCTTATAAAGTGAGGTACGGTAAAATAGAAGCTTGATGAATAAAATGCATTCTACGGAGGACGGATGTGTGAGAAAATTCAGGTAAAAGTTAAATTAATCCTCGAACTTTTGGAGAGATGAGTATTCTAGGTGGTTACAGTGTAATAAGAGGATAGGTTGTGTTACAATATTGGGTTTTTTTACTGCAAGTTCCTGGGTTCGATCCCCATGCGGATCGATGGATTCGTGCGCTGCTGATTAGACCTGATCAGGTTGAAGCAGTTATAAAGTGCTTCCTTGGCCCTTTACACAAGGAATTCTACTATATGATAGAACGGGTGTTCCGTGGATTTGCATTTTGCGGCAACAGGTGAAACTGAAAGACAGAAACCGGACATCTGGAGCCAGAAACCTCATAAAGGTTAAAGGCCACTTGTGTTCGACAAAAACAAGGAAAGCTCATCATCAAAGGAACGATGAAGGCGAGTTCCGTAGGATAGAAAAAAACTGCTTATTTGAGGATTAATGATAAATTGTTGTTGTTATTAAACCAGGAGTCTTTGGTTTGTGATCAATAATTAGGAGAAAGTTTAAACAATAAACTTTACTTTGCGCATAACTGCGGTATGCAATTTTTGGAAAGCTTCGACATTTCTATAAAGTGAAAGGGTTGACGGAGGTAAATAAAGGACTAACGCCGAATAGGTAAACAGATTCAAGTATCGTGCAAGAGGCAAGTTTGAATAGCAACGAAGACCAGAAGAGGAGAGAATATGGATCAAACCAAGTATAGAGTGAGAGGAACGAGGGCAGAGAGTCAAAATTTGATTGGAAATAATAAGGGACATGTTTCAATGGTGCTAAAAGGCAAGAGGTTTCAGAAGCCTGGAAATAAACATGGCAGGTAGAATCCCGTGTGAATCTGAGCTCTTAATCGAACGTATGTGATGCACTGATGACAATCGATGATGGCGGTGATCTGACGGGTCTTGGGATGTGGAACAGATCAATGGAGGGTGGAATCATCAGTGAAACAGTAAATGAAATTGAACTTTTTTTCGGAAGACTGGTAGAAAAATAGAAGAACGCGGGGAAGGGAAAGCATGGAACCAGAATTCGTTGACAGAAACGGAGAAAAAATCTCATCTACTGTGAAGAAAAACGTTTTCCAGTTGAGGAAACCTGATATGTGATCGGGATCCGTACGAGAAAACTCGATAACACACCTTACTACTAAACTCTGTCGAGAGAGACGAGTGTGAGACGAGTGTCTGTATATGATCCAGTGACCGACGAAAGCGGAATCGTTCGCATTTGGTGAGGACGTACAACTGATCGGAGGTCCTGCACTAAAAATGTTTAAAAAACACCGAAATGAGAGTGAGTAATGGTGTTATGATTTCACAAGGCGGTGCCTGGTCGAGGATAGTTGTTTATTGCAAATGACATTTGGGATATCGTTAAGTTGGCATACATATAACAAGATATCTCAACTGAAACATATCAGGATTTCCGGCGGGACAAAGGGTAATGGATACAACAGTCCGTATTTGTTATTTGGAGCACAGCGATTCGATGTGATTGGTATTGTTTATTTTCGAACGTTGGAATAAACCGCCAATTGCATCTTTTGCGAACTACTCACAAGTGTATCTTACAACAATGGAACTGCAATCAAGAGGGTGGCACCACTTTTAGATAGACAAATTGCTGTTTTCTTCAGAAGATCCAGAAAGGTTTTTAATTGAGAGAAGAAAAGATTACATGTTTTCTGTATAAGCAAACTCTGGGTTACGCAATTTCAAGACCATGAGTCCGGACAAGATGTTTTGCAAACATTCCATGTGGTTAGAATTTGGTGTTTGTTGTTCTATGGGGTAAGATGTGAGGTCAGCAGTTGGGGAAGAAGAGAAAAGGATTAGAATTGAAATACAAGATAAATGTGTAGGCAAAGCGGGATGTAAGGGCTCATTCTTCCTTCCCGTGGAGTTCATAAATAAGTGGATCAGAGAGACCGCTAAATAAAACCTACTTGAATGGACAGAAATCGGATGAAATCCCTTTGGAAGGCAACTAGACTGCTTAGCTGCCAGTAGCAGTAGATGTGCTTTATGGTGAATGAGGGGTTCCTTGGTTCTTTCTAAGGCTGTAGAGCCTCTCTTCTTGACTTGCACAAAATGGTGGCGGAATGTTGCTTTGGGCGAGCAACGGCAACGATAAAACGCTGGGATCTTTAAACGTACAGCACAGTTGCAAGCAGGGGTAAGCCAGTCCGGAGACCATGTTTTACCGAGTTGAAAAACCGTGGAATATAAACAGGCCTACTTTTAGGGGTAATAGGGATTGAGGCCGAAGCAGAAACATGAGAACCAAAATAACAGTTAGTTCAAGGCAACAAGGTTAGCAGGCGACAAAAACCAGAACAGCTGCGTCCAAAGTCGAGCGGTGGAACGGGACAAATGGGATGAATAGCAATAGAAACGAGGTAATAATCTCTCTGCCGCGCGGAGAAAGTTGTATTGGATAAGAGAAAGTGATTAGATGCAAAAATGAGGTCAGAAGTGTGAGTAAGTTGACCATAGTTGATCACTACAAAATCTCCGAAATCGGATCCAATGAGTAAAGTACATGAAGGAGGCAACAGTCAATCCTTGTTATAGTTGTTAAAATCTCACAACCTTAGGTCTTTACTGATTATTTTTTCAAGTTTAGGGGGTAAGAAGATCACAATCAGAAGGGCAGCTGCCTCTGAAGGGCTGGTATGTTAAAACCAAGGACGATGAATTTCACTAACAGCAGATGAAATTCTCGCAAACGAGTGTCGATATGTGAAAGTTAGAATGAAGTGGACGGGGGATCAAAAGTGGGTGTGAGCTGANGACGGGGGATCAAAAGGGGGTGTGAGCTGAACGGGTAAAGGTTTATGTTACTACTGAAAACACAAACCTTGTTGAGGGTTGTACGGGGTATGGGGACGTGATCAAGGTTCTGTGAACCAGTACGCAGAGAAGAAACAATGCAATGATTTGTGTGATTTTTAAGATTTACCTGTGATGACAAAGGAGAAAAGGGTTGTTTTTCTAAATGGATACTTGGGTTGGAGAAATACTTAGGCCTCAGTAGGTTGGTGTTAGCGGGACTATTCGACAGGTTAGAAACCAAGAGACAAGTAAACGTTGAAAGAGTTCTAATGCAGAGGCTAGAGACCAATTTGCTTGTGACCAACGTCTTTAGTACTTTTTGCAGGACGGGAAGATTCATTTGTAAATTTGCACTTGTCTATAAGTAATCTATCAAGTCCGACTGCGGTTCTCTTCACTTTGAATTTTTTCTGACTTGTACATCAGAATTAATTTGGACAGCAAGATAAAGGTACGGTATCGAAACGGTTTTTTGTAAGAAATAGTTACGACTGATTGATCTATCTTCGACATATGTATTTGCTAGCTAGTCTCGAAACCTCTCTCTCGCAACCAAACGTGATCTGACCTGTGTGCATGCACAACTGATGAGATTAGCACGAGATAGTTCAAGTCAACACGCAATCTGTGATCGAGATGCATCTTTGTGATTAATTTTTCCAATTGATACGCTCATTTTTCCGATTTTTTCCGAGGAAACAATTCCGTTCATTGTTCTATAATAACTGTTAGACTAATCGATAAGGTAACGATATTGCTCGGGGTTATAACTGAATGCGGCCGACTCTTGTTGATTTTCTATAAGATTGTTACTTCTGTTAATTGTTTTATTCTATTATCCTCATTTACTCACCTTTAGTAAGGCAAAATAGTTTTCATGGATATATACAGAAACTGTTATTAGCTCTTTGTTTTTTTTTCTTAAGTGTGTTAGTAGATCTGCCTCTCTAATAAAGTATTGATTTCAAACCGTTCCAATTAATTGTAGTTTTAGTGAAGCCGACCGCTTTACATCCACTATTGATAACTGTTGAATAAGAAATGGGTCATAATTTGAGTTCAAATAAGTTTCGCTTTTTACGAATGCATTTCTCTTCTCTCCCGTGACAGCCAAATGCCTCACTCGTCGCTCCTCGACAGATCGACACACCGGTTCCGCATTCGAATTTGTCCATGTTGAACGTAGCCCAGTCGGGGAAGAGACGAACGAGACCGTCATGACCGCCGCAGCTTCAGCCTCTCTGTCGGCCGGATTTTCCACACTGGACTCACGCACGCGAATTATGGTTCCATCATCCGTTGGGAGACAAGCGATCGATCAACGCTACACACTCTACGGTCGACCCGCCTTGGACGGGTCCCAGTTCATGGATCGAGATGATATGACCCAAGCGGAACGACGGGTTATGGGAATGGGTGGAAAGAGAAAATCGTTTAAGGGTGGCGCGCCAAAGCGCGCGCGATATTCCATCGATCCATCGGTAGGTGATAAAGTATTATCGATCCGAAATTGGAATGTACACTTTATTCGTACAATGGACTTGATGATTATTGTAGACTGGATGCCGTCTTTCAAAATAAAAAGATCAGTAACTAGGACCCCTTTCGAAGTAGACAGGTTTACAACTGACAGCCATGAAGGATAATATTTGGCCGAACAGTGTACCGTGGTTAATAAAGTGATGGCCCGCACGCATACCTTTGGTATAATAAACAAGTTTCAAATCCCAGGTTGGTCGGTGGACAGGCATCACAGATAATATACAGCAATGCGTATTTGGTTGCCCGAACAGACTGAAATTTGGACCTGAGGGTGAACTTAAGCTGCCCAACTCACGATAATTATGTGCTGCTCACAACTTGCAAGCAACTAACTGCTCATTACTTCCTAAAGCTATCTGCTGGATTTTGACAGCCATAAAGTATTTAAAGCTCTCCGCTGGATGGATGATTAAAATGTGAAATAACAGTGCATGTAACGTAGAATGGCTAAATCGAAACTAACGTCTATCTTGCTTTCATCTAGCAACTTTTCATGTAAAAGAACGTGATCAAGGAACAATATTTCAAACGCTGTGTGCCAAAAATATTGTAATGAATAGAGGTAGACGTCAGTTACCAAAAGAACTGAACATATAATATAATAGCACAGAATTTGTTACTGAAGATCAAAATTCACATGCTACTGACAGAGCTGTAATCATGGATGAATGTATTGCTTGGAATATATGCGGATCAACAATTTTGAACGTAATCGAAATCGTACCTGTAACCAGCTACCAAGGCATCCCGATAACGAGACGTATGACTAAGGGCACAGAAGTAGCAGTTTGTTTATTGAAAGAAATCAGGCAAATAAATAATATCCACAAAAGAATACCATTCATTGAATGAACCAGTAGTGACCAATCGTAATTTGTGTTCTTCTTCGAACGGGATTCCTGTTTAAATCAAGTGGTTTTTGGTTGGTACAGTACCATATCTTCTTATTGATTGTTCTGAAACTATAACACGTCTCTTCCATTGACACGAGAGTTAAATCATCTCAATGAAGAAACATGTCATTACCGCCAATAGCCATCTGAGTGAGTGCTCCGTAAAACTGCAAAGCCAATATTTGTGCTCATTCAGCTCGTCGGTTTTATTACCGCGGTGGTAGTTCTCGTAACGTAAGCTCCTTCATAATAGAAATTGGAGACCTTTTGAATCACCGTATCTCAATTTAAACTCGGTCGACACTAAGATGCCGTGTTCGAATCATTGAGTGACAATAATCAGCTTGTGTCACCAAAGGGCTCACGCGTAACAAATTTAGCTTTCTGTAAGCGCAATTGATTCGACCAAGTTTTTGTGCGCATGGAAATCCGGTTTCAAGAGGCGGATGACAATGGTCATGGCAGTCGTTGGTTCCCGCAAGCTTACCAACCTTATTATGTATTATGGGACTCGG